AGGTACTTTTCCTGTTAACTGAGGACCCTAGACTAAGCTCCCTTTTCCACACAGGAGATGCTGTTATTCTAGGCACAGGAAGTAGAAGTTGAGGTCCACAAAAAGTTAGGGTATAGTGAACTAAGACAACTAAAACCAGGACACAGAACAGCTCAAGTTTATCAGTAAATTCTGCAACCACACACATAAATTTGCACATAGTAAGTTTTCATTAAATTTCTATTTAAAGTTTGCATAAGGTGGTTTCTACTGGGGAAATGGAAGTATATGATAGGGATAAGGGTTGCCCTTTGAGCTTTGGGGGCCACACAAGGTTTTGGGACCTGGAGCATCATGGGTTTGGAAAATTCAAAAACTGAGATGAACAGGTACCCTGGAGAGTAAAGAAGAGATGGTAGCCTAGAACTGAGGAATCTCTGAATGGCACTGGGGTGGGATGGGAGACCAGTCATTGTCAGTGGAAGAATGAGGCCCCTCCCAAGTTTGAAAAGTTGTGTCTAGGGTTATAGGCCCCAATGTGGGAGCCATTGGGCACAGTTTGACAGTAGCAGGAGGAGGAATGGAGTTGCAGTGAGATAGGGCTTGTGACCATCCTTTTGAAGAAGAAACTAAGAGTCTGAGAGGCTCAGAGACCTGTGCATTATACCACAGCTAGCCAATAATGCTGTTCTCTGGGAGCTTACCCTGACTTGGTCAGTGACTGTCATGGATTCTAGTATCCTGACATGTAAGTTCCAAGTGTTGTCAGGTGAAACGGGATAAACAATCTCTTCTTTCATTCCTCCTGCAATACCCTGCCCCCCCCATATCAGACCTGATCTTGGCTGACTGAGACCATGTTGGATCCCCTATACTGTTCTGAGATATTTATTTATATGTGGTGCTGAGAATTGAACCCAGCGCCTCACACATGCTAGGAAAGAACTCTCCCATTGAGCTACAACCCCAGCCCCTTTGCCCACTTTTTGTTGAGACTTTCAGCTCCAAGAGGTGAACAGGGCAGCTTCCCTCTTGGGGTTTGGACTTTCAGGAACTTGCGGGTGGGGAGCAGGATGCTTACAGACTGGAGAAAAGGAGCTTGAGGTTTTGTAGCTCCATGGATGGGAGAGTCTTGGATGTGGGGGTGTTGCCCAAGGGCTGGGGACATGTGGACTGTGAAGGGAAGCCTCAAACACCCAGGTGAGGGAGCTTGCCAACTGGATGGGGTTGGAAAACTTCTTCCAGACTGGAAGATACTCAGACTTGGGGGTTTGTGGAGCAATGGAGGGTATAAGAATGTTCCCAGGGATGAATTACAAGGGCTGGAGTTTCAGGACACTGGGTAGGGATGAACTGAGAAGCCAATGACAACAGGACCACAATTCTGGGGGCAGGGATAAGGCCTGGGGCTGAGGAGTGGTGCTTGTGTCAGTCACTGAGGCTGCTGAGAGGGTAAGGGGTTCAGCTGAAATACATCTGGAGCCCAAATGTACCCCATTGGAAAATGGGGGTGATGAGTTGTGTGTGGTATGATTGCCAATGGAATTAGTAATAAGCTTCCAAGTGACCTGCATTGTGCCCAGCTAAGCTGTGTGGTAGCAGTGTTGATGCTTTTTTTTTTTTTTTTTTTTTTTTTTTTTTTTTTAAATTTTTTTTTTTTTAATATTTATTTTTCAAGTTTTGGCGGACACAACATCTTTGTTTGTATGTGGTGCTGAGGATCGAACCCGGGCCGCACGCATGCCAGGCGAGCGCGCTACCACTTGAGCCACATCCCCAGCCCATGATGCTTATCTTTAATTAATATTGATTACAATCACACTAGGAAAGGCCAAGCTCCCTTAATTCTTGTGAGTTTGAACCAATGCCCCGCTCAGCTTCATCCATTCATGAATATAATAAAGCAATTACCCCCTTTAAGTCTCACTTTATTTATGAATCTAAATCAACATCTTTCATGGTCCCACACAATTTATTAATTTATTGTTTTAAAGAATTTAAATTTTATTTTATATATGGTACTGAGGATTGAACCCAGTGCTTCACACATGCTAGGCAAATGCTCTACCACTGTGCTACAACCCCAGTCCCTAATTTATTAATCAAACCTTTCTAATAGTGGACTGAGGGGTAACTGACATAAAATTTTTAAAAATATTTACTTATTTTCTTAGTTGTAGTTGGACACAATACCTTTATTTTATTTTTATGTGGTGCTGAGGATCAAACCCAGGGCCTTGCACATGCTAGGCGAGCGCTCAACTACTGAACCACAACCCCAGCCCCATTGACATAAAATTTGATAGGTTTTGAATGTAATGTTTACATCTGTGAAACTACCAGTATCACCAGGATTGAGAACGTAACCATCCCTACCAAGCATTTTTCCTTGCCTCTTTCTAATTACTCCTTCCTGCCCCTGACTCCCTCTTCAGGTAACTGCTGATCCACTTTGTCACTATACATCAGTTGACATGTTACTAGATATTTATATAAATGGAAACTTACAAGTTGGGACTGGTGATGCATGCAGTCCCAGCAACTTGGGACATGGAGGCAGGAGGATTACAAGTTTGTGGCTAGCCACAGCAAATTAGCAAGGTTTTCAGCAATTTAGCAAGACCTTCTCTCAAAATGAAAAAGAGATATAGCTGTGGTAAAATATCCCTAGGTTTAATTTCAAGTAGAGGAGGAAAAACAATAAAGAATCCTACATCATACATATATTTTATTTTGAGACAGTGGCTCCACTAGTTTGCTGATGCTGGCTTTGAACTTCTGATCCTCCTGCCTCTTTCTCTGGAGCCACTGGGATTACAGATGTGCACCACCGTGCCAGCTGTTTATTTATTTTGGAGGTAATGGGGATTGAACCCAGGGGGCTCTCCCACTTAAATATATCAATAGCCCTTTTTATTTTTAATTTTGAGACAGTGTCTCTATAACTTTCCCAGGGTGATCTCCTAATTGTGATCCTCCTCTCAGCCTCTGATGTAGCTGGGACTACAGTTGTGGGCCACTGCACTTGGCTCATGATTATTTTGAGGAAAAATTTGTAGTGCTGGGGATTGATCTCAAGGCCTCACTTAGTATGTGCTCCGCCACTGAGTTACACTCACAGCCTATAGCATAATTATTTTGAGATCCATCCAAATTGTTCATTTCTTTTTATTGCTGAGTTGTAGTCCATTATACAAATATACCAGTGTGTTGATCATTTACCTACTGATAGGCATTTGAGTTGTTTCCAGTTTTGGACCACTAACAAATGTTATGGACTGAATTGTGTGCCCCCTTCCCCTGATAAATTCACATTAAAGACCTAACCAGCCAGGTGCAATGACACACGCTTGTAATCGCAGTGGTTTGGGATGTTGAGACCAGAGGATTGAAAGTTCAAAACCAGCCTCAGCAAAAGCGAGACACTAAGCAACTCAGTGAGACCCTGTCTCTAAATAAAATACATAATAGGGCTGTGGATGTGGCTCAGTGGTTGAGTGCCTCTGAGTTCAATCCCCAGTATCCCCCTCCCCTCAAAAAAAAGTAGAAGCAGAAGCAGATGCATGCTCAGTTCTTCTAGAGTGGGTGCTTTGATTGCTGCTTGATTGCCTGAAGACATCAGACTCACTCTGCCAAATTGTACTCTTTTTAAAAAAATATTTTTTCTAGTTGTAGATAAACCCACAGTATCTTTTTTTTTTTTTAATGTGGTGCTGAGGATCGAACCCAGGGCCTCACACATGTGAGGCAGCTGCTTTACCACTGAGCTACAGCCCCCAACTCCCAAACTGTACTCTTTTTTTAATATTTATTTTTTCTTTGTAGTCGGACACAATACCTTTATTTTATGTATTTATTTTTATGTGGTGCTAAGGATCAAACACAGGGCCTCACACTTGCTAGGTGAGTGCTCTACCTCTGAGCTACAACCCTAGCCCCCAAACTGTACTCTTAATGGTGACTCTCCAGAGAGTTTCCAGGCCTTAAGTACCTGAGTGGAAATGCATCATTGTTTGGTTCCTTTTGTTCTGAAGCTCCGAATTCTTGAACTGTGTAGTTACTGGTTCCTCCAGGTCTCTAGCCTGTTGAACACCATTGTGGGACTATCCACAATGATCATGTAAGACAATCTAACAAATTCCCTTTTAATAATAATAAAAACTCTAATCACCAATGCGACAGTATCTAGAGACAGGGTCTTTAAGAGGTAATTAGGTTAAATGAGATTATAAGGTGGGGCTATATACAGTCCTAATCAGATGAACTGTATGTAGCCTTACAAAAAAAAAGGAAGAGAGGGCTGGGGATGTGTCTCAGTGGTAGAATGCTTGCCTACCATGCATGAATCTCTAGGTTTGATCACCAGCACTCCCCCCAAATTAAAAAAAAAAGGAAGAGAGAGAGGGTTCTGTCTCCCTCTGATATCTCTTTTCCACTCTCAACTCAATGTGAGGACACAGCCAGAAGGAAGCCATCTACAAGCCAAGATTTTTTTCCAGCAACCGAATGACCAGCACCTTGATCTTGGACTTTCCAGTCTCTAGAAGTGTTAGAAATTAAATTTCTGTTGTTTCAGCCACCCAATCTCTGTAGTATTTTGTTATGGCAGCCCAAGATGAATATGACAAGAAATAAAGGTGACATTCATGTACAAATCTTAGTGTAGAAGTCTGCTTTTTTTTTAAAAAAAAAAAAGGTAAATAAATACCCAGAAGTGGAATGGCTGAAATCATACCTATATGTTTAACTTAAGACACTGCCAAACTGTTTTCCAAAGTTGCTAAGCCATTTACATATCTATCAGCAGTATATTTGAGTTCCATTTCTTCTATATCTTTTGCAACTGTTGGTATGTTCAGGCTTTTTAATTTTAACCAGGGTTCTCAGATAATAGAAGCAGTGGCGCCTGAGTAAAACCGAGGCCAAGTGCTCCGACTGGCTCCTACAACCAGACCTTGGTGCCAGCAGCCAGGTAGGTCATGGCACGGGTCGGGGCACGGAACTGGCCGGCCTCAGCCACGTCCAGGCTCGGGCAGGCCGCCAGGTGAGTGTGCCCCTGTGCTCAAAACTAGTTGCTGGGCGGCTGAGAGTCCACCCAGCAGACTACTGGCTATGGAGTCGCGCTCAGGGGGCACTACGGACCGTAGGGGGAGCAGAGGAGGTATGGGAGAGGTGGAGTAGGGTGGGAACGGGAGGGAGAGTGTCCCATGTCACCCTCGCCCAGCCTGTCTGTTCCTCACCTTTTCCATTCTACAGGTGGTAAACAGCAGCCTAGGAGGCCAAGCGGTATTGGTAGCGGGCAGGGTCTGATGGTCAAGGGCTGTGCTCCAAGTCAGCACTCTTCACTACACAGCAGAGGGGCGGCACACTAGGCGCGGGAGGGGTAGCTTCCCAGGAGTCTCGGGGGAAGGTGCACTGAGGGATCTGGGGACATCTGGGCACTCAGGATCCGTAGCTCCAGGCTGTATACTCACACTCACACACCCCCTCCACACACACCTGAGCAGAGAGGCGGTGCACAAGACTGAGCTGGTAGGAAGGAGGCTGTCAGGAGTCTCTGGGAGGCTCGCCTGGAGAGGTCTGGGCACGCAGTGTCTGTAGTGAATTGGTGGCCAGAACTGGGGGTCCATGAGGAGGGGTCACCTAGAGGCACGTGGGTCATGTGGGGTAAATGGGCCTCCGAGGGATCTCTGGGGAGTAGCAGGGTCTGCTTAGGAGATGTGGAGGGGAAATCGGGTGTCCCAGGGCTGTGTGGGGGTGTTTTCTTTCGGGATCCCTGAGAGAAGCAGGATCCCTAGAGACTTGGAGGGAGAAGTTTGGCATCTAGATTATTTAGGGGAGAGTCAAGGAGCTCCTGAGAAATTATTGTGGTGTTCCGAGGGGTCCAGGACCACTGCAGCCAAATGGCTACCTGCAGGGACATGGTCGGGGCAAGGCAGGGATCCAGTGGCATGCCCGCGATGGTCGGGGGTCGCGAAAGAGGAGGGGGACAGTGACGACTTTCGGAACAATGCAGGGAGTGGCCAGGAGTCTCCGGGTAGGTTGCCGAGCATTTTTAGGTCTCCGGATGTCTGGAATCATGGGTATTCTCGGAGGCTCGGGTGTGCGCTGACCTGTCTCTCTTCTGCGCAGGCCGCGGCCTTCCTCTGCAGGCGGGCCCCGGCGCCCGGCGGCTGCTGGCGCGGCTGGACGCGCGCCCCCTGGCGGCCCGAGCCGCTGCAGACGTGTGGGCGCTGGTACGCAGGGCAGGCGATACTTTGCGCCTGCGCCCCAAGGAGGGTGCGTGATGAGGGGCGGGGAGGGTCGGGGAAGGGCGGGGAGGGTCGGGGAAGGGCGGGGAGGGTCGGGGAAGGGCGGGGAGGGTCGGGGAAGGGCGGGGGGGGTCGGGGAGGGGCGGGGAGGGTCGGGGAAGGGCGGGGAGGGTCGGGGAAGGGCGGGGAGGGTCGGGGAAGGGCGGGGAGGGTCGGGGAAGGGCGGGGAGGGTCGGGGAAGGGCGGGGAGGGTCGGGGAAGGGCGGGGAGGGTCGGGGAAGGGCGGGGAGGGTCGGGGAAGGGCGGGGAGGGTCGGGGAAGGGCGGGGAGGGTCGGGGAAGGGCGGGGAGGGTCGGGGAAGGGCGGGGAGGGTCGGGGAAGGGCGGGGAGGGTCGGGGCCTCCGCGGAAGGGGACTGGATTGGGATGGGCTGTGTTCCGAGGTGACAGGCCAGGGAATTGTTAGTTATGGGCCTGGGTGGGACCAAGGGGTGTGATTCGATCGGGCGGGGCTCGGGGAGCCCTTGGAGGGAGCAGGGCCCTGGGGTTATTGTAGCATATTCCTTTAGGGTAATTGAGATAGGCGATTGCTAGACGATTCTTTGAGGGTGCTGTTGTGAGTGGTCATTCTGGTCAGCGGATCATGGAAGGTTATTTCTGGGGAGTGGATCCTGGAGGATGCTGGGGGCGGGCAACTCATTGGAGGGCTGGACTGGAATGCTAGTCCCGGGGTGGAGGCTCTGAGTGCTTGGAGGTGCTGCCTTAAGTGTGAGGAATGGGACGGAGTTTGGAGGCTAATTAGAGGGCGGGGCCTGGGATGCTCAAGAGCCCAATCTTAGAGTAGCAGCTTCCACGGAGTGTTCCAGGTGTTAGGGCTGCATGTTATTATTATCAGATAGGGAGGTCTGGAGGATTACTCAAATAGTCAGCCTAGTACTATTTGTTAAGAAGGCTGAGTCAGGACGTTTATTCTTTTTTTTTTAATTTTTATTTTTTTCACAATACCTTTATTCTATTTATTTTTATTTGGTTCTGAGGATGGATCCTAGGGCCTTACACGTGCTAAGCAAGTGCTCTACCACTGAACTACAGCCCCAGCCCCAGGACGTTTATTCTTTTTTTCTCAGGGGCACTCGGCTACTGAGCCACATCCCCAGTCCTATTTTGTATTTTATTCAGAGACAGGGTCTCACTGAGTTGCTTAGGTCCTTGCTAAGTTGCTGAGGCTGGCTTTGAATTCATGATCCTCCTGCCTCAGCCTCCTGAGCCACTGGGATCACTGGTGGACGCCGCTGGGGGGACGTTTATTCTTAAAAGCTGAGTTTTTACGATTACTGTGGGGTGGGGACTGGTTCCTAAGTAGTTAAATGGTGAGAGTCTGTGAGAGTTTAGAGGCAGGCAACAAGGTGAGGCCAGAGTATTAACTCAGGGGGCTGGTCCTAGGTATGTACCCTGATAGCATTCCACCTCTTTCATCCTTCAGCCATTAACATGCTGGACTCTGCGGACATAGAAGTCACAGACAGTCGCCTACCTCATACCACTGTTGTGGAACACCAACCTCAGGTACCACCTCACCCATGTATTCAAAGCCATCTGCTTTAGGGCAGGCAGTCAATGTACATTTGTGTCCTTACTCCAGCATTGTAGGTCAGAGACTCTGGGTATTCCTACTGCGCCAACTCGAGTGACCCAGGATAAGGCAAGATGTGCTTCAAAGCCACTCCAGGCCTCTGGTTGGTTCTCTGTGGAGCTAGTCAGCAATCGCACAGGCTTTGGCCTCACTTTAAGTGGGGGCCGAGATGTAGCGGGTGATGCTCCACTGGCTGTGCGTGGGTTGCTGAAGGATGGGCCAGCACAGCGTTGTGGTCGTTTGCAGGTTAGCCCTAAGCACCCTCCTTTCGTAGGTGTGATCCCCACCTTTGTCCAGAAGCTCTCTATATTTCCTTCCTATACCACCACTGCCTTGCATTCTTGCAGGCTGGTGATCTCATTCTCCATATCAACGGAGAGTCAACGCAGGGACTTACCCATGCCCAGGCGGTGGATCGGATCCGCACTGGAGGTTCCCGGCTTCGGCTTGTGTTGCAGAGGCCTAATGAGACTCAAACTGGCAAGCACAAGGGGATGGGTGGGTCCCGAAATGGAAGCAGTGGGTTTTCCAGGGAAGGAAATTAGAGGTCTGTGAGGGGAAGGAGAGGTTAGAAGGGGTTTAGTGGTCTCAGTGGGGAGGATCAGGGTTTGGTGTCTAAGTGGGGTTAGTATATTTTTGAAAGTGGGGGTGGGAGGGGAGCCCTTCCCAGGAAAGGAATTTCAGAGGGGAAACTTTTTATAGGGGAAAGGAGAGGAGGGAAGAGATCTGGGGTAAAAGCAGATCTTCAGCTGGGTGTGGTGGCACATACCTACAATCCCAGCATCTTGGGAGGCTGAGTCAGGAGGATGAAAATTTGAGGCCAGTCTTAGCAACTTAGTGGGGATGTGGCTCGGTGGTTAATCGCTCCTGGGTTCAGTTGCTGGTACTACTACTCCTACTACTACTAACAATAATAAAAGCCAGTGTTCAGCAGGGTCTTAGTCCTTGGAGGGATAGGCAGAATGGAGTCTCAGCTGGGAGGATATGGGATGGAGATCTAGAGAGTAGAAGTGTTAGTTCTGAGAGACAAAGGGTTGATAAGGGAAAAGTTGGGAGTCAAGGTGGGATGAGAGAGGGAATAGTCAAAGGTCTTAGACTGGAGGGATTATTAGTGCCAAGGCCAAGGTCATGGTTTGATTTCCTTTAGGGATTATGGGAAATGATTTCTGTGTGGGTGTCCTGGATTAAGGCAGGGAAGAGTCTAGAGAAAGGAGGTGTTGAGGCTTGTGTGTGGGGGTACTAGTCACCGGACACCTCCAGGAAGGTGGAGGAAGATTTCTCTAAGGGAGGGGGGGTGTCTCTGTTTCCTGCCACCCTTGGGCTTTCTGGGCCATCCTAAGCCCTCCATCAATCTAAACTGTAGCCCTGTCATTCCCAGACTGCCGTCCAGATCTTGTAGGTCCGGCGATGATGAAGTCTCACAGTGCCAGCCTTTCCCCAGTTCACCACCCTCAATTCAATAGGACGCCAAAGACCCGGGGCAGCCCTGAGCCTAGTCCAGAGGCAGCGGTCGACGCTCCCGAAGTTCCTCCAGCAGAACGCCACATGGAGGACCCTGATGACCGTATCCCTGGTTCCCCAGGACCCTGGCTGGTGCCGAGTGAGGAGCGGCTCTCGCGGGCCCTAGGTCTCCCAAGGGCTGCGCAGCTCGCTCAGGAGACAGCAGCTGGAAGGAGAAGGCACTGAGCAGTTGACACAGGGCTCGGTGCTCACTTGGTAGGGTCCAGTCTGGATCCGATGGGCAGTGCACTAGCGTCGGGCTGAGAGCTCCTACTTGTCTGGTCTTCCCTCCCACCATGTAGTTGACTGGCCCGCGCTCCCCTCCAGGCATCTGCAGTCCAGCCTTCCCAGACCCCCTCAAACCCACGCTTCTGGTTCTGGGCGGGGATGTAATAAAATGGGTTGATCTAGTCTTGACTTGCCAGGTGTTCCAGGAGGGGTGGGGCTTCCAGGTCACCCTGGAAAGGAGGGGGTGGGTCCATCCGGTTTCGAGGAGGACCTCTAATAACCAGCGATGAGCTGCGCGCAGTTGCTTTCAAGTCTTCGCTTCTGCCCATCGTCGCTGGGCTCGCGGGCTTGCTTCCCCTTTCGTTTTCCTTGTGTTAACTCCCGCTCCTCCCATTCATTCATTTCACTCGTTTGAGATGTGAAACGCTCCACATATATGATTGTGGCATGGGGAATACAGACGTGGACCTATTGTGGTAGTGTCCTCAACATATACCTGCTGTCGCAGCTCAGAATCAGTCCGACTCTCAGCTTACATAAAGATAGCAAGTCTAGAAGCAGGGCGGCTTTCCTCCCCAGGAGTCTGCGGTCTCCCATTTCCGTCCTAGAAGCCAGCTTTTTCTGGCACGGAGACTGCCATCCTCAGGGTACAGGCTGGGGCCCTGGAGCCCCCTTTGGGACAGGAGCCGGGAAGGTGTGAGTCAGCGCCCGGGGCTGGGCCTGGCTAAAAAGGGCAGTTAGAACCTTTGGGCCACACCCCCCTTTTCCATAGATGGTGACGAACTGCAGCGGGCCTTGTGCTTAACACGCCATATGCTGGGCGTTCCGGGTCCCTAGAGAAACACAGAATTTCCTCCACCCTTCCAGCGGAGCCACACAGCTGGGGCTTATAAGACCAGCGGGATTCTAACCAGGGTAGCCCCAAGGCAACTGCAGTCTGAGACCAGAAATATTAGGACACCTTTGCGGTCACCACATCCTGAACACTGGGCCCCAACCCCCCAAGGAGGGAAGCTGTGGTCTGACTGGAACTGGCAACTTTCAGTCCCTATGGTGAAGAGGTGTGGAAGTGGAGAGAGAAATTAAAGGGTCAGAGTGTGAGAGTCTGGAGTTGTGCTGGACTGGAGACAGGGATTGCAAAACTGAGTTGGATTATGAAGAACATTTTAATGGTTAGCACTGTACACATAGCAGTGTCTGTCTTCCAGCTACCCTTGACTCAGAGCCTGGAGGAGGCATGACTCCACAGTTGTCAGGAAGGGGTTCTAGAGCCCCATTCCTATAAACACAGTCACACCCAGGGGACTAATAATAATAATCCCAGTCACATTTATCTCATATCACTTCATCTCTGTTAGTGGTTTTAGTGCAGTATTTATTTTCATCTAGTTACATACCTACTCAAGTAGCCTGTAGGTCCATTTCACAGCGGGGGGGAAAGCAAGGCCCCAAATGAAAATAGCTTGAGGTGTGTGTGTGAAGAGGTTGAAGTAAGAATTAATCAAAGCTTGATTTCTGAACCTGTCCTCTTAATCTCATCTATATTTGACAAGTATTAATAGAAACTTGGCTGTCTGTATACCTTGCATGGAAGTATTATGGAGATACTTGTGGAATAAGACAAAAAGATTCCATCTAATAGGATGAATAAAGGTTATTGTTACATTTCCAAAAATATATATTTCCATCTGTGTGTAGCAGACGTCATGAGGGTAGGCATATGTCAGATAAGAAAGATAAGACAATGAATTTTTAAAAGACAATTTCAGAAAAAAGTGAGAATTACAAAGAAAGCAAAAGGAGGTTATGTTAGGGGAGATCATGGTGGGCTGCTAGCCTCTTTGAGGACATGACATATGAGCTGGAACCTGAATGATCACAAGTCAGATGACTAGTTGTGGGGGAATGGCATTGACAGCAGCTGGAACAACAAGTGCAAAGGTCCTGAGGCAGCTGAGTTTGTCTTGTTCAAGAAATTTGGGCATTCCTTACTGAAATAGAAAGCACACACTCAGCACTGGGGAAAAATGTTTCTACCCCTTCCATTATTCAGTCACTCTTTCAGCAGCCTTAAATTTGAGGGGCCCTGTGTTTGGGAGGGGGACAGCAGGCAGGTCCACAAGGTGAATCCTTCTATGAATCCAACTATGTATGACTCTCCACCTCAAATGAGATGAGAATGAAACTGATGTCCAGCCTAGAGAGTGTGTCATCATAACACATTGGGGTGTTGATTCCAGGTAACCAAGTGCATGTTTAAGACACAGGCACCCAGGCTGAGCCAGAAGTTACTTGCTCAGTAAAATAACTCTGCAAATGACAACAACTATGTCTTCAGCCTTGCATTTCAGGAGCCATCCCCTACCTTGCCAAGCTCCCAGCAATAAATATGCCTTTCTCCTCAAAACTGGAAACTGAGGCCCAGCACTTAGGGCCAAGACTTCTCTGGAATCGCACTGCACAGAATCAGACCCTGGGCTGTCCTGGCTCTAAACCTATTAACAATGTCCACCCGCATTTACTGAGCAGCTCCATGCTCATCAGGCCCTGCTTTAACTCCACCTTTGCATCACCATGGTCTCATTCTCATCACTGCTGAGATTTTTTCACCCCGCTATCTTTTATCCAAAGTTCCAAAATCCAAAAAGCTCTGGAAACTGACTGCCCCATGCCCACCACAGGTTTGGTACCAATCGTCTGTACAAGCTGACCTGATCTGATGAAAAACAATATTCAGTCCTTATTTATCCCACTTGTTGTGAACATTCACAGTTTTTTTTTTTTTTTTTTTTGAGGAAATAATTAACCCTAACCATCCCAGACCTCGCTGAGGGTGTTAAGTAATATATCATACAGGCATCGGGAAAACTTTCTAAAATCCCACATTTTCCGAATTCTGGAAACATACCTGGCCCTTAGACTTTCGGGTTTAACCATGGCCTCGGCTGGTTTTCAGCTAAGGAAACTGAGTCACTCCCTCCCAAAGCCAGATTCCCGCAGTTCTAAGTTGAGGCAACTCTGTTTTGAATTTTAAAAAGGCGAAGGGTATTGATATTCCCGCGCCCGCCCGGTACCTGGAGCTGCAAAGCACCTTGGGGATGGGGCGTCCTCAAGGCTTTGCGCCGGGCTGGGACAGTCCTTGGCGGGCGGGGCAAGGGGGCTTCCGGGGCGGCAGCCACCTGGCCCGGCCCACTCCGGCCCCGCCCGCTTGGGCTCAGCGCGGTGATTCACTCCCTCCTTCGCCCCGGGGGCCCCCTTACCGGCCAGACGGCGGGCAAGACGGCTGGGTGTGCAGCGTCCTCGAACCCGCGAGCCAGCGAGCCAGCGAGCCAGCAGATCCTCTGTACCCGCAGGAACTCCAACCCACGCCATGGCGGATTCCGAGCGTCTCTCGGCCCCCGGCTGCTGGGCCGCCTGCACCAGCTACTCGCGCACCCGCAAGGGAATCCTCCTGTTCGCCGAGATTGTGAGCGTCCCCGGGCAGGCGGGTGGGCAAAGGCGGGGTGGGGTGGCGCGACCACGCTGTACTGGACAGTCCTGGGTGAGGCAGGCACGTGGTCGGGGCGCTGGGCCTTGGGGCGCAGGTGGCTGGGTTCGTGGCTGGGAACTGGGGGTGCAGCGGGAGTTGGTGTGATTTGGGAGGGTGTTGGAGAGTTGGTGGAGCAAGGACGAAGCGGGGAGCCTGGGACGCACATGGGGGTTTTGGTGGGAGAAGCCCTCCAGGACTCAGTGGACTCATCAAAGGGGTCGTGGGGGCCTGAGAAGTGGGGTGCCTTCCGTGGCAGGGCGTGGCGCGGCCTGGACACTGGCGGGCGGGCTGGCAGTGTGCCGAGAGGCGGGGCCTGTTGGGGTGGGGCCCCGTGCACTAGTGTGGCGGGGTGGTGTGCCCCACCCTCCGCCAGTTCTTTCTTGCCCTTTTGGGACTGGGCGGAAGATCCTTAGCTCTTCAGGCGCCTGGGGAACCTGGGTTTCCCGCCCCTCAAAGTGGGCACCGCCTTTGAGTCACTTATGAGAGGGGTGCGGTACCTTTAACGGAGCCCTGCCCCTCCAGTGTCACTCTCACCGCTTCCCAAAGGGGTTGCTGGGGGAACCGCACGTTCCGCCTTCTTATGGGCTGGAAGCTGGCGCCAGTCTTGCTCGCAAAACACCTGGCAGAGCCACTCCCCTAGGCAGGGGATATCCTAGAAGGGAAAGCGGGGGAACTGAGGCACCCAACTGTGCTCCTTACTTTATGAGTGACCCTGGGAAGCCACTTAACTTCTCTGACTCACTTTTCTCATCTGTAAAACAGAGATACTAATAGTATCTAGCTCATTAGGTGGTTGTGATGACTAAATGAATTAATATTTTTAACCGAGAACAATGCTTAGAGCCCAGCATGGTGGCTCAAGCCTGTAATCCCAGCGATTTGGGAGGCTGTGGCTGAAGGATCACAAGTTAGAGGCCAGCTTCAGCAATTTAGCGAGCCCCTGAGCAATTTAGCAAGACCCTGTCTCAAAATAAAAAGGGCGAGAGATGTAGTTCAGTGGTAAAGTACCTGTAGGTTCAATCTCTAGAAACCAACCAACCAAACAAACAAACAAAAACCCACATTGCTCCAGGCACAGGGAACACACAGAAAGTGTTTAGCAATTATTGTGTCTCATTTTTTCCCAGACCTGGTAGGTATCTGAGAAGTGGATCTTTTTTTTTTTTTTTTTGGAGGGGGGAGGGTGTTGGGGATGTAACCCAGGGCCTTGTGCATGCAAGGTACTACCATTGAGGTATATTTCCAGCTCTGAGAAGTGGAATTAATTTATTTTTTCTGGTAGCCAATTTAAACTAGTTCCCTCAGCCTTCGGAACTAACTGGGACCCCTGTTCCCATGTCACCCTTCCAGGTATTGTGCCTGGTGATTCTGATTTGCTTCAGTGCCTCCACATCAGCGTACTCCTCTCTGTCTGTGATTGAGATGATCCTTGCTGCTGTCTTCTTTGTCATCTACATGTGTGGCCTGCATGCCAAGATACCATTCATCAACTGGCCCTGGAGTGTGAGAAGGGGTCAAAATGGCAAGCTGGGCAGGGGCCTGGGCAGTTGGGATTGTCTGGGGAACTCTGGATGCTGACTTCCCTCTTCTCCCTACACCTCACAGGATTTCTTCCGAACTCTCATAGCATCGATCCTCTACCTGATCACCTCCATTTTAGTCCTTGTTGACAACAGAAGCCAATCCAGAATTGCTGCAGGGGTAAGCCTGTGGAGGCACCTCTAGAGCATAGGGAAAAGGGTTTGAAGATCCAGGGACCATCTGCTTCTGCTTTTGGCAAAAACTTATTCTCAGGGCCAACAGGAAAGTCTGGCCCCAGCCATGGTTTATCTCCAAAGATCATTTGCTATAAAGGGCTGCCCATTGTCAGACACAGGGCCTTTGTTGGAAGTATAAACATGCTAGATTGCCATCTGTTAGAACTTTGTCTCAAATGTAGGATGAAATATGCCCCCTACATTTGGCTGGCTGCCCTGTGTTGAGAGGTCCTAGGGGCGGAGTGGGGTAGAATCCAGCCTCCTGGACTTTCTCTTTGGCTCTGGGGCTTCCAATCTAGATAGGAGTTACCATCCTGCATGGGGCAGTCCCTGGAGGTGGTGGATACCTGGAGTTAGGAGTCTGAATGGGCCAACTACCTAATCCAACTCCCTCACTCTCATCTCCATCCCCAGGTACTGGGACTGATAGCTGTGTGCCTCTTTGGCTATGATGCCTACTTTACCTTCCCTCTTCGGCAACAAAGACATACAGCAGCCCCCACTGGTAAGTGTGTGTGTGTGTGTTGCTGAGAGAGCAAAGGAGAAAAAGGAAAGGTATCTCCCAAGGGAGGGTAATAATGCCCTTATGTCTCGTATCAGTAAGTGCCATAAGCTTCAACATTCCTGTTTGTAAAATGGGCATATGGATGGGGCTGGGGTTGTGGCTCAGAGGAAAAGTGCTCGTTTAGCATGCGTGAGGCACTGAGTTTGATCCTCAGCGCCACACAAAAATTAAATAAAGGTATTGTGTCCACCTACAACTAAAGAATAAATATTTTTTAAAAATAGGCACATGGATCTAGCCAATGTTTTCTCTCTTCCTCCTGCAGACCCCACAGATGGCCCGGTGTAGAACTCCCCTCATTTCTCTCTGCAGTTTGAAAATAACTTCTTTTGGAAAACACTTCTTCCCACTCTCACAACAATCCTCCCAGCCAACCAACTTCTAGCCCCCTGTTGAGGTAACAGTGCCTTTTCTGGGAGAATTTTGTCTTCCAGACTGCTACTCAATCATCCTGGGTATGGTCACCTTTATGGGTATGCCTAGGTCCCCCTCCCTTCTTCAGTATTCAGTTCTGCCTGGACCACACTCCCACCTAAACCACAAAGTGAGGGAAGTGGGTGCCTAGGATTTCAGAGTGTACACTCCACCTGGTGACCCACTCCAAATAACCTCCTCATTTTGGGGGATGGTTCTGTGGAGAGAGAAATAAATAATAAACATTGTTAAAGTCTATGATAATGAATAAATTAATCCTCTGATCAAATGTGAACAAATCTCAAACATCCAGGTGGGTTGACCTGGAGTAAAGGAAGCAAAGAAGCCAGGCCTGTTTTACGACAAACATTAAATTATTTCAATAATACAAACAGAAGAAAGAGGGAGGAAGAAAGGGTACTTGACTTAGTTCAGGGTGGGCGGAATCATCTACGCTTATCAGAGAATAGAGCCCCCTCCAGAGCTGCCTAGGTCTTTAAGCCACGATGCAGTTCTTGTCTCGGGCCTGGCGAGGCATCCCTGTGCGAGAATCCCCATGGAGCTGTGGGGTCACAGAGCCTAAAGTCTCAGCTGCACTGTTGGGAGAGGTTGTGGGCCTGCGCAGGTGAGGGGGCAGTGGAATACGTTCCCCTAGGAAGAATCCATCATCCTCAGAGGATTCAGAACTGGGGCTGGAGGGTGAGCTGGAGCAAGATCCTGAGTCGGACCCTGATCCCAAGTCACAGCGATGGTAGCCACGTCGGCCCGTGTGGCGGTGGTGGTGGTGGTGGTTGTGATGATGGTGGCGGCGGCGGCGACGGCTGGGGGCCCTAGGTGGGGGACTACGTGGCCTGCGGCGCTGGGCCGGAGGTGCACTCAGGGTCCTCCGCGGACCTCCCTCTGAGACCAGAGGCTCACGGAAACTAACACGAGGGGTGCTTTGGCGGCCAAAGGCACTATCGTCAGGACGCAGGTCTGGTTGCTCTGGAGACTCCAGGGGTTGCTCCGGAGCGTTGCGGAGCCCCAGCTCGGGCATGGAGTGGCGATGGGGGGCCCCTCTCGTAAAGGGGGAGGGCTCCTCGGCGCCTGTAGCTGGAAAAGAAGAGATGGGGGCTCCCTGTATCTGCAGCCCCCACCTGTGAGGAGGCTTGTGGAAAGGCCTTCTCCTTTTCCACCCACTAAGACTAGGGAAGTGGGGACAGGGATCTGAAGCCTGGTGCAGATTGGGTGAAGGGAGGAAGAAAAAAATGCAGGAGGAACCAGGTACGATTGGTGTATGGGGCGTGGCCAAGGGTTGGGGAAGCTGCTGGGATGGGAGACGGGAGGCTTGGGATGGAGTAGATTGGATTTACCACAGAATAGGGGTGGGGCCTGAGTGCAGTGGGTGGAGGGTGACGGGTTGAAGGAAAGGAGGAACTTGGGCTCCAGCAGGAAGCAAGAGAAGCACCCTGTATAAAAGCAGGGTAAACCCAGGGTTCCCGAGGCAGGTGTAGCTGGGGCTGGAGACCAGCCTGGAATGGTGCGGCAAAGAAGGCTGGGTCAAACACTGGGCGGGGCCTGGGCAAGCCCTGGGGAAGGGCTCAGGTTGAGGTGGGGGGCGGGGCTGTGACTGGGCGTGGCTCTCACCAGGCGCCGCCTCCGTGCAGGTGCCTTTGGTGGCCGTCTCAGAATTCACCTCCGCAGCAGGGAAAGAGGACGAGGAAGTTGCCAGCCGGGCGGCGATTGTGCCTCCGCTCCAGCTGCGGCGGCCGGGCCCTGGAGCGGTGGGCTCAGACCCAAGGCTACAGGCTCGGGAGCAGAAGATTAGGCCACGTCGGGGCAGGAAGGGGCGGCCCAATAGGGCTCTGCCACAGCGACTGCAGCAGAAGCAGCGGTCTGAAGCGTGCCAATGCTGACCCTCATAAGCCATCTGGCCCTGGTCCAGGCCTGTGGGGACCAAAGTCAGGGGTGGGGACTGAGGCAGAACCCCAGGCATACTCCCAGTCCTCATGAATGGGGCCTTAATTGGAAAAAAGTGGTGGATTGGAGGCAGTGCACCCTGATTTGCCGCCCCCCTTCCTAAATGGGATCACTCTGGAGTGGGGTTTGGTCCACACCACACGGCTCCTCATCCTCCTGAGTCTCTCCTGGAGATTGGCAAATGTCTTACCTACCCACCTCCCTTTATTGCCCAGGGTGCCCCTCTGGGAGTGGGGTTAATCACTGGAGGACTCTTATGATGTGAGCCAGACAGACATTAAAGGGAGGTGACTTCAGGTGGGTGGGCCTCAAGAAGAGGCCTGGATGGCTGTGGCAGAGCTTAGAGGGGATAGTGTCACTAGAAGGTGGGACCAAATCTAGGCTGGTGGAGGAAAGTGGAAGAAAATGGGGCATAGCTCAGGGCAAGCAGAGGCTAGGCTTAGAGGGCTTTGTGCTGCTGGTGGGTGGAGACATGTCACAGTGGCCTAATGTGTAAGTAGGCCTTATGGCAAAGCTTGGGATATTGGGGATGGAGCTTGCAGTGAAAAGCACTAGACTGTGATGCTGGGACTGAGTTAAAGGACAGGGTGTAGTGGGGGCTAGGGCCTGGTGGCGTGGGGCTGTGGCCCAGCTATACATGCATCCCTCCATTGAGTCCCATTATTCACCCACCGATGTGCTCCCCACAGCCATCACAGTACTCCGCATGTCGGGCCTCATAGCAGGCACAGCAGTGGGGGCGGCTTTGCCGCATGACATAGCGCTGCCCTCCTAGTGAAGCTTCACACTCGAAGCAGCAGAAGTGACCCATATGCCAGTGCCGGCCCTCAGCTTCTGTGCACTCAGGGGAAAAAATGATCTGGAAGGTGCAGGCCATCTGTAGCTGTCAGAAGGTTCTGCCCTGACCCTTTCCGCCCTCCACTCCCACCCCTGGGCAGAGAGGCACAAACCTCGTCACAGGCTTGGCAGCGTGGGCGCAGGCGTTCAGCATGGTGACGCCCACAGTAGACCTTGCCAGCATGATAGAAGTAGATGAGGTCAACAAGCAGCTCCCGGCATGTGGTGCACACAAAGCACTGTGGGTGCCAGCAGGCACCCAGGCCTGCACGGCTGGCAAACACCGCAATGTCCCCACCTCCAATCTGCTTCCCACACTGCCAAATGACAGACAGACACGGTCACCATCACTAAAATAGTCAGATGGATTGGGTCAGCCAGGTATGTCACACTTGGGCCTTTCCCATGGTCAAGTTTTATGACTGGCCCCACGTACAGGGTAACTTTTTTATTTTTTGGTACTGGGAATTAAACCCAGGGGTGCTTAACCACTGAGCCACATCTCTACCCTTTTTATTTTGAGACAGGGTCTTGCTAAGTTGCTCAGGGCCTCGATAAACTGCTGAGGCTGGCTTTGAACTTGCAATCCTCCTGCTACAGCCTCCTGAGCTGCTAGGATTATGGGTGTATGCCATTCTGCTTAGCAGTAATATTTTTAAATCAGTTACAGGGTAAATTGGAGACAGTTTTCACTTACGGGGGTGCCTTAGTGACTGACCCTGTTCATGGTCAGAAACCATAGAGACAGGCACTACATATTGAGGGTGGCCTTACAGGCAATCCTCCTGCATAGGGGGCTGGAGCAGACATAGAGACAGAACAGATCTAACCACCAGGACCTTATTGACAGACTTCAACCAACAGTAAGTTCTAAGGACAAGCTCCACCCACCAGAAAAGGCCTTAGAGATAATTCCACCCACCACTTGGCTTTGGACACAGGTCCTGCCACTGTGGGTCAGTTTCTTTGTGCTGGGGATTGAATCTTGAGCAGGCTAAACAGTGCTCTGCCACTGAGTCATACCTCCAGCTTCTGGGTCAATTCTTAAGCACAAGTCCTGACCACTAGAGGACAAGAGAGATAGCCCACGGCCCATGTCCATTATTGCATGGAGGAAAGAAACCATGGAGAGAATACACCAAGGCCTCCTTAGAGAAAATCTATACCCAACAGTGGAATCCCAGGGACAGGTCCTATCTATCAGTGGGCTATAGAGACACATTTGGTCCAGTAGAGGGGGCCCTAGAGACAGTCTACTGGGGCTTGAGTGGCAGGCCTCAGCTTTGCAGGGCCTAATAGGTGGGCCCTGCACCCCAGGACCTTCAATCCAAGGCCCTTCATGATTTACCTCTTCACAGATGGCCCCAGTGATGGTCACTGGGAAGATGCGTACAGTTCCACGCCCCAGATTCTCTCGCTTCCGCTGCTGACTGAAGGCTCTCAGTTCTTTCTTCTCCTCCTCTTCCAGTGCTGTGCAGTACTGTGCCTGAGGGGAGCAGGGGTCTTCCAGACTTCATCCACACTCACAAGTTAACTTCTAGGACTTTCTATAGCTGGTGCCTCCTGCCTGAAATACCTACCCCTTCCCCCTTTTTCCAAAGCCAAGCTGTGGTTTTGCCAAGGAATGTTCCCTGATGGCCCCTGCCTGTTCAGCCCTAAGCTCAGCTCAGTTTACCTTTTCTCCTTCAACCCTACCCATTTCCAACTGTCCTGCATTTGCCCAGGCTGTGCTCTCTACCCAGCATGCTCTTTCCGTCTTCTCTCTCACCTCACTATCGTGTGGGGGCAGCTGATGCAGCAACTGCTTGATCCTGTATTTCTCCCCAGGACTGTTGACATAGGGGACCTTATCTTCTGGGAGGCAGCTGAAAAACTGGTATACCTGGGAGGACATGGTGGGGGTGGGTAGGAGAAAATAATTGAGATTAAGGGTGGTAGGGATGCAATGAGATGGTGGGTCCCTGCCTCTCTAAAAAATTAAACTCATCAGGGGAACGTCTCTTGGTTCCTCCTTCTCCCTAAAGCTCCCAAATATGCTGAGAGTTCTCATGTCTTGACCCTACTTTCCCCTCCAGTTATGCTCCACTTTTCTCCTTTTTCTGTACAGCAAAATTCCTCAAAAGAGTTGTGAATGCTTATGTGCACTCCACTTCCTCTCCTCCCATTTTTCCCTTAACCCTGGTTGAGTCCCCAGCACTGCAATACACACACACACACACACATACACACAACATATCCTGCTCGGTGCAGTAGCTCACATCTGTAGGCCCAGTAACTCAGGAGGTCGGGGCAGGAGGATTCCAAGTTTGAGACTGGCCTCAGCAATTTAGTGAGGCCCTAAGCAACTTAGTGAGACCCTTTCTCAAAATTGTAAAAAAGAAAAAAAAAATAAAAGGACTGGAGATGTAGCTCAGGGGTAAAGAACCATAGGGTTCAATCCCTAGTACCAAAAAAACCAAATATATCTTTCCATGTGAAGTTTAGATTCCTGAAAAGAGAAATAGCCAATAAACAAACATGTAAACATATAGTCATCCTTTGGGATCTTTGGGGGATTGGTTTCAGGACCCCTCATGGATATCAAAATCAGCAGATGCTCAAGTTCCTTGTATAAGATGGTGCAGTGTTTGCATATAACCTATACACATCCACCCACACACTTTAAATCCTTTCTGCATTACTTGTAATGCCTGATACAATATAAATGCTATTTAAATAGTTGTATTGTTTACAGTCTAGGGGTATAAATCAATAGTAGAGCATTTGCCTAACAAGTCCAAGACCATAGGTTTAATCTCCAGCACCATAAAAAAGAAGTATTGTTTAGGAAAATAATGACAAGGAAAAAAGTCTGTATGTGTTTAGTACAAGTGCAATTTTTTTTTTCAAATCTTGATCCACAACTGGTTGAACCTGAAGATGTGGAACCTGCAGATATTGAAGGGAAAAACTATGTCAGATGGTATAAGGGATATGGAACAAAAAAACAGGGAAGGAGGCAGGTGCAGGTTCAGGCCTGTAATCCCAATGACTTTGGAGGCCAAGAAAGGAGGATCTCAAGTACAAGGCCATCCTCAAGAGTTTATTGAGGCCATGTCTCAAAATAAAGAATAAGAAAGGCTAGGGATATAACTTAGTGGTAGAGAGCTCTGGGATTCAATCTCCAGTGCCAGAAAAAAATAGCAAGGAAGGGGAGCGGGCAGTGGAACTGTAATAAGGAACTCAGGTAGGCCTCTGTGAGAATTTAATGTCTAGCCGGGCATAGTGGTGCATGCCTGACATTCTAGCACCTAGGAAGGCCAAGGCAAAAGGGTTGCAAGTTATAGGCCAGCCTCAGCAACTTAGCAGGACCCTGTCTTAATATTTTTTAAAAAAGGGGAGAATCAGGCTTGCTGGCACATGCCTATAATCCCAGCAATCCCATCAGCTTGGGAAGCTCTGACAGGAGGATTGCAAGTTTGAGGACAGGTTCAGCAACTTAGCAAGGCCCTAAGTGACTTAGTGAGACCCTGTCTCAAAATAAAAAATAAAAAGGGCTGGGGATGTGGTTCAGTGGTTAAAATGCTCCTGGGTTCAATCCCCAGTACGGAGGAGGAGGAGGAGGAGGAGGAGGAGGAGGAGGAGGAGGAGGGTGGGGGGGGGGAGAAGGAGAAGAATTGAATATTTGAGATGCTCCAAAGGATGTGAAGAAGTGAGTTAAGCAGATATGTGAATTAGAACAATCCAGGTAGAGAGAATAGTGTTAAGACCCAGAGGCAGGAGTGTACTTGGCAGGTATGTGTGAGAAAGTGAGCAAAGGGGACAGCAGTTGGAGGCGAGGCCAGAGAGGTAGCAGGGCCATGGAGAGGACTTTGACTGTAACTCTCAATGAAGGATCAGTCACTAGAGGGTTGTGAGCAAGGAGGGACATGATTTGTCTTAGGAGTTAACAGGATCTATGGCTGCTGTGACAGCCTGTAGGAATGAGGGAGGAAGCAGGGGGAAGAATGAGGAGGAAACAAGTGACTACTGCAACAACTGGTGACTGTGCTGATGATGGAAGTAGTGAGTCTAATTCTGGAGAATGAAAGTGTATATGTATATATATTTTTGTTTCCTCCAGTGCTGGGGATGGAACCCAGAGCCTTGCACATGCTAGGCAAGCACTCTACCACTAAACCCCAATTCCGAATATATTTTGAAAGTAGAGCTGGTAGGACAAGAGGATTTGCTTGTGGGGGTCAAGATAAAGGAGTGAAAGATGACCTAAGAATATGTGGATGGGTTCACTTGTGTGAAAACTGTCAACTGGGTGTGGTGGTACATGTTTGTAATCCCAGTGGCTTGGGAGGCTGAGGCAGGAGGATCATGAGTTCAAAACCAGCCTCAGCAACTTGGTGAGGTCCTAAGCAACTCAGCAAGACCCTGTCTCTAAATAAAATAGAAAAAAGGGATGGGGATGTGGCTCAGTGGTTAAGTGCCCCTGGGTTCAATCCCCAGTACCCTAAATAAATAAATAAATAAATAAATAAATAAATAAATAAATAAATGAGGAAGTTGCAGATGGAAGAGCTTAAGTTTGTTTCTGGCCATCTGGAGCCTTGGGCATGCTGGCAAGTACTCTACCACTGAGCTACATATACCCTTAGCCCCTATTTTGTGTGTTTTCTTCACTGTGGTGTTCACAGTGCTTAGAACTGTGTCTGCAGTAGACGCTCAGTAATTATTTGTGGAATGAATCAGTCAATGATGATGTGGTGAATGAGATGCTTGGATAAGACCTGGGGTGGGGGGTGCAATAAGAGTGGGTGAACAAGTCCTGGGGAACTGATCCAGTGATCACTCAAGGGTCTCCATCAAGAGAGGTCAGAAGGACACTGGAAGTTTGACCACACACTCTAGCATTGCTCCAGAAATAGATTCCTATTTGAGTGTTATGTGTTTGTGTGTTTATGTGAGTGTATGTGCATGCCTGCATGTGTGTGCACCCACTGGAGAATGAGAGTGGGTGGCTGGCCTATGGTCACCTGCTCAGGTTTTAGGCCCGGGGGCACCCAGGCATACTCCTCTGATGCACAGCCTGAGTCATCATCCGAGATGGAGTGGCGCTGGAAGTCTGAGATTAGTCGACACATGATGCGTTCCAGGTCCACAGGTACTGCATGCACTGCGTGCTCCTCCCGTGGGCATTTGCAGTGCTGGCAGATCTTTCTGAGGGGGCCAAGATGGGTGGTCAGTTACCTAGGAGTAGCCTATCCAGACCCCCCTGAATCCCTTCACAGGCCAAATTCAATGAAAGAGCAGGACATGTAGATTACCACCAAAGGGCTGTGAGTATAGAGCTATGGGCCTTGGGGCTGATAGGACGTGGGGCTAAGAGTCAGGGTCTGGTTATGAGCCTGTGGCCAAGGTCATAGGGAGTGGGGTGCTGGTTATGAGGGGCCCAGCTTCTGACTGATGGCAGGGTCATAAGATGCGGGCAAAGGGAACTGGAGCTGGGGCTGTGAACCTGTGTGCACACAGAATGCCAAGGGGCTGTATAGGGTCTTGAGAATATCGCCTAACCTTCCTGTTCTGGGACTTGGGTCAGACTCTCCGAGCAGTGAGCAAGCAGCTGGTCTGAGAGTGGTGGGACTCCAGAACTGAGAGTGGAATTCTGAATCTAGGAGCTTCCCTTCAGGAAAGGCTCCGTGCTTTGTGGGGGAACTCCCTCTCCCTTGAGGCAGGGCTCCAGCCCTGTGATGAGGCACTGAACTTGTGTGTGTTGGGGAGGTGGGCTATGAGCTCCAGTAGGAGGATAGGACGCTGGCCCTGGGAGAAGAATGGAGTCCTGGAGAAAGGGGTTGGGGAGTGCGTGGGCGATGCTCAGAGCCAGGGTCAGGCTTGGGGAAGCCTCTTGGGCGGGGGACTGTGTAGTAGGTGGAGCTCTCCTGGGAACAGGATTCTTTGTAATGAGTTAGGGGGCGGGGCTCTGAGCCTGAGATTGAGGCTCTTTTCCCTACAGAGATCTTTCTGTGGGCAGAGTTCAAGCCTAGGGACATGGTCTAAGCCTCCAGTAGTTTTCCCTGAGGGCAAGGCTATGACAGAGTTGAGGTCCTGGAGAGGGTTCACTTACCTCCAGCCATGCAGCAGGAAACCGGGGCACTGCTCTCTACAGGAGTTGCAGGGCTGGCCCCGGTCTGGGTCCTCAGCCTCTGGAGGCTGTAGTAGGCCGAGGCAGACGCAGGGCCAGGCGAGGCGCCAAAGCAGAGAGGGAGAAGTCAACGCCTGCCTCTCCACTCCTAGGCCCACGACTGCACGCTGGGGCCTGTCCCACTAGGGCAGCGCTGGGCAGGCTGGGACAGCGCCTGGAGCGCGGGGGGAGGAAGACAACCGAGCCAGAGGCGGGGCAACTGGGGCCACCTCCCATATGTTCATTTTTCAAGGAATTACTCTCCCTGTGCAGTCTTTGCCTCTCCCCCAGCCTTGGACACATCCCACCAGCCTCAGATCCCTTCAGACCTCCCCCAGAATCAGGGTATTCATCCCACCAGAACAGAGTCCCAAATCTGGGCATCCCCTCCTAGGCTTCATCCCAGCAGCTTCTCCACCAAGAAGACAGCAGCAGTCGGATTCCATAGGGTAGAAATCTGAGACCCCCATTCTTCCTTGGGATCCCCACATAAACCATGCCACTCCCTTCAGAAGCTCAAGAGCCTGCCCCCAAATCCTGCCTTCATTTCCTCATATCTAAGAAACTGGGGACTGTCCCCTAGGATCTCAGGAAGCCCCTGCTCCATCCAGAAACCCCCACCCCATGAAGCCTTGGCCTTTATTCCTCATGTTTACTAGGACTATTCACTCCTTTGGATCACCAAACCCAGACCCCACCTTTCCTAGTCAAGAGACTTCCCTCCAAAGGAAAAGAAAGACCCTCCCATATGGGAAGTCAAAAGCTCCCCCGGCTCAGGTGGGAGCCTGGAAGCCCTTTTACCTCAAATCCCTGTTCCTCCACCCTAAGCATTGGGGCACCCCACAAGGGTGGGATCCCATCCCTCAGTCTATTTCCCTCCCCAGGGTGTGGAGGTCCCTGCTCATCCCAAGACCCCAAGACTTAGCCTTTTGACTCTAAGAATCCCCTCTCATAGTTCCCAGGAAAAGGGACACACCACGACATAGGGTTACTGATAAAGGTGTGCAGAGAGGTGATTTAGGAGCGTGGGTCACCAGATCTATATATTCCTTTATCCAACACCTCCAGCGGCCCCAGAGCCCAAGTCTGGGAGAGCTGGGGATAGGGATTCCCCGACTCTCTGTGGGGCTTCTCCAGGGTATCCCTGTGCCCTGCGCCCTCACCTGGGCCTCAGTTTACTCCTGACCCCCACCGCTGCCCTGATTGTCGCTCACCAAACGCCCGGAGCGGCGCCTCCGGGACCCACGCGCGAACATGGCGCGTCCGGACAGTGTCAAGCCGGGCCGGGTAGGGCGAATGGAATCCTCGCGGCCTCCAGGACACGGCGCGTCAGGCCTGGGAGCTCTGTTCCGTAAACCTGACACCGGCGTGGGAGGAGTGCGCCCCGTAGGGTCCGCCCCCGGCCCCGTTGTCTCTCCGAGGCCAAAGCGCCCCCTGTCTGAAGGTGAGCTGTCCGCAGCCCGGTCGTGTTCTGCAGAAAAGCCCCCTGCCCTCTCGACCCCAGCCGAAGCAGGAGGCACAGCCTCTATAACTCCAACGTGCCACGTGGCCTCTAGGACTTAAGTCTTTAAGTAGTGGAGGAGGGAGGTTCTTGGAGGTGGCTACCTGACTGGAAGGAGTGGTGCACTAGGCTGCTTTTATGGACGCTTTGTGTAGACTTATCTTGGATGTTTATTTGGGCAGGGGGTTAAAGCCATCTCTTGGCCTCTTACCACTGGTGAGGATCCAAAGTTCTCTTTTCCTTAAAAGAATACTGCAAGATGGGCTGGGGGTGTGGCTCAGTGGTAGAGCACTTGCTTAACACGTGTGAGGCACTGGGTTTGATCCTCAGCACCACATAAAAATAAATATACTGTGTGTCCATCTGCAACTAAATAATAATAATAATAATAATAATAATAATAATAATAATAATAATAATAATGTGAGAGTGGTTCCCAATCGCATCTACAGCCCCAGCTGCGGCTCTGTGACTCTAACCAGACAGCTAGACCCTTCCTATTTCCTTTTGTGAGCAAGAATTGTATGAGATTTGTGGGGAGGAGGCTAAAGTCAGCGGCTAGGTTTAAAGGCCCTCTTCCAGCTCCCTCCCCATCCTTACAGGCCCTGCCACCATACCCACCAAGTCCAGAGAAGGAGATTTTAAAGCTTTGCCTCCCCCACCTCCATTTTTTCTCTCTTGGGGTAGATATCCCCTTCCCAGAGTTGGTTCCAGAACTGGGAGTCTCTTCCTTGGCACTCTCAGGCTTCACTGTGCCTCGGGTCTGGGAGGAGGGGGTCCAGCGTCTGCAGTCAGAACTCAGACCTCGGGCGCCTAACCCGGGTCTCTAATTAGACGTGGAGGGGAGCCGGCGGCGGTCAGCCCGGCCTTTCATCGTGGGCGCCAGGAAACTCCCTCAACCCCATTACACACACCTCAGTCACTTCCCTCCCCTTTTAGTCCCCGGGAGGGTGTAAAGAGAATGAATAAATTAATTAAAGAGTCACGCCAGCGCCCCACCTCCCTGGTGTCGAGGTTTTCCTGCTGGGGCAGAGTCAAGGAAAAGGAGAGAGCACAGGATTGGGTAGGGTGAGGTCTCCCTGTGATGTCTCCCTAGTCAGAGCCCTTGGGGATCCGTCTGTCTGTCTATAGTACTAGGGAGCAAACCTAGAAACTCTTGCATGCTAAGCAAGTGGTCTACCACTGAGCTATATCTCAAGCCCTTCCCATGGGGATTTGAGGATAGGGCTCCACAGGAACCAGGAAGGATAGTGGCTGAGGGATCAGAGTGTGAACCAAACCCTAGAAAGACCTGTCATAGCTAGCAGGTCTACTCAGAGCATGACTTAGAATGACTGGCAGGCGAGGAGCCTTCACAGAGGATGTGGCAGCAGCCTGAACTGCATTCATCAGGTTTGGGTCTTAGCCTCCTCTCCCCAGTCTTTACCCGCACCCCATCTGCCCCCCAAAAAGACACATTGAGAAACTGCAGCCGATTGGACTAGGTGGTTGAGGAGTTTATTTGGGGGAGGAGAATTATTCATATTTGTTCTTCCTGGGGAGGGGGTCTTCAAACAATACCGAAGGGCAGGGTGTGGGAAAGGGGGGTCTGGAGGGGAAAGGAAGGGGCCACAGCCAGACGAAATGGCAACACACAATCACAGGCACTACCGACATCACAGACACAGCAGAGGGTGCAGGATAGGGGCTCCAGACCAGGCCTCCAACCACCCTAGATCGGGTGGAGATGTGGAGGGAGGGAGGGGCAGGGGAAGGGGGAAGAGGGGTGGGCCAGCCCCACAGACCTGCCTGGCTCTGCCCTCTGATTACCTAGCTATCTGGTCAAGGGGAGGGACAAGGGTGTGGGGGCTGTTCCTCTCTGGATCCCACCCCTCACTCTCCAAGCCAAATCATTTGTTTTTTTCTCAGACCAGCTTCCTTGGTTCCCAGCCTTAGCTAGGGCCATTTTCCCCACCCTTAACAAAACTCATCCTGCAGCTCCTAAGCACCCCCCACCTATTACCCAAACCTGTTCAATTTAAAACACCTTTTCTTCACTGTCCTATTGGGGGAGGGGCTGCCCTTTCTGAAACCACCAGGCTCACCCCACTCTAACCACAACCCTTCTGGAACCCTGACTAGGACAGTTCACCCCAAGCTTAGCTCATTCCTGAACCCCACCTCTTGCTCTACTCAAGATGTGTTCCCATTAGATCAAGTTCAGATTCTTGAATGTGCCAAGCCACACACACACACACACACACACACACACACACACACACCTTCTATAGGCTGGTCCCAATCCAAGACCCAACCAGTCTGGAGTCCACTTGCTGGCTCACATAAACCCCCACCCCTTCTAGAGACATGCCCTGGGCCTCCTTCCAAGCCTCACCCCAGAATGCTTTAGGCACCCCTTTACTTCAGTTACTCCCTGATGACTTCTCCCCTCCACTCCAGAGCTCCCTTTAAAGACCACCTTGGATCCAAGCTGTCCTCTCTACCCCAAG